AACGACCCCTGTTATGTCTATTACATTTAAAGGAAAACACAGTCAGGATACTTCAACTGACTGTCCTAACTGGTACTGGCCATAATTAAACAGAGCTTCACACCTTTGATATCCGTGAGCAAGTGCACCTGGGCTTCTTCCAAGGACCGTTCTCACCTGTCCCCTAAGTCTGACAATCGCTTCATCTGCCAGACGTAGTTGCTAAGGTGGCATCACGTTTGACTTCCTATTTGTGCTCTTTTTCTGCTGATGCCTTTTCCCTCCCGATGCAGGGATCATGCTTATCTAGGCGTCTCCAGCTTGTCTGGGCAGAATGCTGTCCTGAAAGACGACTCATCTCTACACCTTATATAAAGTCTTACATTATGAAACAGGGACAGGCTTGTGTATCGCCAGATGCAATTACTGCATATACAAAAGGGCACACGTCGTTGTCTAAAAAGGAGGCTATTATTCAGCAGCTCCTTGTAAGGTGCACAATAAGGAATACTTCAAGCATAATTAAGCTCAGGTTGCGGCAACAAGGAAGGTATCTTTTGCCTATGTTAAGCAAGTTGCTTCTTTTCTGTGGCCCATTTGTTGGGCGTCTGAAAACTTAGTGCGTTCTCTGAAAAGAGGACGATATTCACTGTCTCTGAAAAGCAGAACGGTATGCATTTCTGGATCCAGGTGGGCAGCCAGGTTGGTCTGAAGCAATAGGACAAAGTGAAGAGTCCAGTGGCATCTTGAAGACCAACAATGTTTTATTCAAGGTATGAGCGTTCGTGTGAGGAAGTGTGCGTGCACACAAAAGCTCGTACCTTGAATAAAACTTCGTTGGTCTTCAAGGTGCCAGAGGACTCTAACTTTGTATGCATTTATCTTAAGGTTCCAGGTCGTGCAAACTCATCCCTTCCACAAGGGCATAATGAAAACATTTGACTCTCTTCCTTCCCTCTCAGCCTGGCTCAACAGAGCCTCCTGCATAGGAACACTCAGATGTTTGCCAAAGCTCTCACCAAAAGATCCTGACTTTGTAGTATGGTTATCATATTTAAAACATGGTGGTGGCAGGCAATGTTCCCTCTAAGTTGTGGAGTCTTGTGAGCAAAAATTCTACTTTGTGAGCTGCTGGCATGAAAGTTGTGAGCGAGCGATTTGGCTGCTGCATAAATTAGTTCGCTCTGGAGCCCTCCTTCCTGAGCCGAGACAAAAATCTGTGAGTTGGAGGCTAAAAAACTGTGAGCTAGCTCACACTAACTCAGCTTAGAGGGAACACTGGTGGCAGGTAATCAACTGTTTTACTTGGTGCCCTGTGGACCATCCCTAGTGGCACATCCCTGTTGCTGGGAATGTTGTAAATGCCCAGTCCCAACTGCTACAGTGCCTTACAGTTCCATGGAGAGAGCTTCCTAAGACAAGTACAAAAATTGTACCAGGGTTTCCTCCCAGTCGACTAGCCTCTGGATCACGAGCGCACTTATTTTTACAGAAAGACAACACAATGTCTCTTACTGCATGGAGAATTTCGTATGACAGCCTAAATGTTTCCATCTGCACTGTCACATAATTCTAGGGACACATCTCGACGTATTGATCCCAAACAGATTTTGTATTCAGACTGTAAACTTCAGATTACTTTTTAGATGGCTCTGAAGTGACGGTACCCTCTAGTGGTAGAGTAAAGGTAAAGGTCCCCTTGCTCGAAAGTCAGTCGAGTCCGACTCTAGGGTTGCGGTGCTCATCTCCGTTTCAAAGCCGAAGACCCAGAGCTGTCCGAAGACGTTTCTGTGGTCATGTGGCCGGCATGACTAAACACCAAGGCGCACGGAACGCTGTTACCTTCCCACCGAAGTGGTACCTATTTATCTACTTGCAATTTCTTGCTTTCGAACTGCTAGTTTGGCAGGAGCTGGAACTAGAGATGGGAGCTCACTCCGTCATGTGGCAACTTGGGTCTTGAACTGCTGAACTAATGAGTAGTACTGAATAGACTGCAACATTTCAGACTGCAACACCATATTCGGAAGCTTCCTTACACAACCCCCCCCCCAACCTTTTGGCAGGAAGAAAACTAATACATAAGAGAGAACTATTGTAGCCGAGGCCTCTTATTGCTGCACTAGCTTTAATTTCTCTCTCTCTCTTTTTGTTTATATAGAGAAATGTTTTTAAAAGCGATCCTCCACATTTAGTCTTGATATGCTACTGCATATTCTATTTCATTCGCTTTGCATGTACAGATTCAGCCTCCTGAACCCAATTTGGTTGATGTTAAGTTATACCAGAGCAGCTGAAGAAAGTTATATTCAGAGCAGCTGAAGAAAGCAATCACAAAAGTTTGGACTCAGAGATAGTCTTCTGCTGGCGTAACAACATTTATGCTAGCAAAATGGTACTTCCCATTGGTACAAGAGAGAATTGAAGCTGTCCAATTGTCCCCTCCAATTGCAGACCCCTACTTTCATAGAATTGTGGAAGGGACCTCCAGGGTCAACTTGTCCAACCCCCTGTACAAAGCAGGAAATCCACAAATACCTACCCCCCCAACACACCCAATGACCCCTGTTCTGTGCTCAGAAGAGAGCAATTGCTTCTTGCCACCCAAAGTGGCTATCAGCATTTCCCTGGGCGTGTAAAAAAGGGCCACAAGAACTAAGCACTGAGGCAACCCTTCCTGCCCTCCCTACTCATGATCTGCCTAAGTTCACAGAATCAGCATTGCTGTCAGATGGCCATCTAGCCACTGTTTGAAAACCTCCAAAGAAGGAGAGCCCACCACCTCCCCAGGGAAGGCTGTCCCACTCAGGAACCACTCTAACGGTCAGGAAGTTCATCCTCATGTTTAGCCAAAAACTCTTTTGATTTAATTTTGACTCGTTGGTTCAGGTCCAACCTGGGGCAACAGGAAAAGAAGTTCCTCACCATCCTCTATATGACAGCCCTTCAAGTACCTGAAGATGGTTTGGCCACCATGTTGTTTGTGAGGATCACCTGATCCCCAAGAACAGAATTGGGGGTTGGGGCTCAGTGGGCTGAAGCTTGAGTTGAAGATGCCTAAATTGTATTCTATGAGCCATGCCCAACTTTTTGTATTTTGTATTCAGCCTAGTTCACAGATACTCATGTATCTGGAGAATCCATGGTAGATATCTGAACAGCCTGAAGGTAAGGTGGCTCTTTGGACAATTGATCTACTGTTAAAAGGTTAACATCTGCTGTAGGCCAGGGTATCGCTGGGCTACCCAAGGGTACAGTCATGAACTCAAAAATCTCAGCAGTGGGATTTATACATAGTGGCTAAACTCTCGGATAATCTTACGCGTTTTGATAAATGTCCTACGTGCGTCAATTTTACTGCAATCTGGCCCCCTATCCCCTACTTTTGGTATTTTGTATTCAGCCTAGTTCACAGATAGTCATGTATCTGGAGAATCCATGGTAGATATCTGAACAGTTTGAAGGTAAGGTGGCTCTTTGGACAATTGATCTACTGTTAAAAGGGTAACATCTGCTATAGGCCAGGGTATCACTGGGCTACCCAAGGGTACAGTCATGAACTCAAAAATCTCAGCAGTGGGATTTATACATAATGGCTAAACTCTCGGATAATCTTACGCGTTTTGATAAATGTCCTACGCGCATCAGTTTTACTGCAATCTGGCCCACCTATCCTGAATTACCTATCCAATCAACAGGACATCCCCCCAGTGATGGATGCCTTGTGGCTTTGGTAATGTGGGTCACTTAATTTCAAAGGTAAAGAACAGATAAATCCTGTTGGGTCATTATCTACAATATAGCAATTAATTTTTGTTGTTGTTGTTCAGTCGCACAGTCGAGTCTGACTCTTCGCGACCCCATGGACCAGCTCCCGCCAGGCCCTCCTGTCTTCCGCTGTCCTCTGAAGTTGGCTCAAATTCATGTTCGTTGCGTCGATGACACTGTCCAACCATCTCATCCTTTGCCGTCCCCTTCTTCTTTGACCTTCAATCTTTCCCAGCATCAGGGTCTTCTCCAGTGAGTGCTCCCTTCTCATTTGGTGGCCAAAGTATTTGAGCTTCAGTTTCATTATCTGGCCTTCCAGGGAACAGTCACTATGTAATTTTACCACCAAAAAAGCAAAGAGGAATGCATACCTGTAAATCACTCAATTCATGTTGTAAACTGTTGCCTACTTGTTTTGGCTATTGTTACAAATCTTTTTGAAGCTTTGTTGTGAGCTTTTAATATGTATTTGGACATGAAAACCTAATAAAAAAGTATTATACAAAAATCTCAGCACAAGTACATAGTAAGTGATTGTGAAAATAACTCCAAATACTAACATAAGAACAGAGAATCCTACTGAACAGAATCAAATATCCATCTAGTCCAGAATTCAGTTTCCCTCTGTGGCCAGGCCAGCCAGATATTTCTGGCCAGTTTACAAACAGGGTACGAGTGCCACAGATTTCTCTTGTACTTGTCCCCAACCAAGTTCAGCACAATATTGTGCTAGGCTTGAGTGGTTCAATTTTATCTGGTTTATATAATATTACTTGCCATGTATATTCTCACAACGCCACTCTAAAGGCAAGCTGGCCCAATGGTTGTGAATATGACTGTTAAACTGTTAGAACATCCTGATAACCTCTTATTATTTCTGTATACATCTTTTTTAATGACAGCCCTTGGGGGGAAAAAAACTTTGCTTTAGGGGATCTTGTTATTATCGGGAGATTCTAAATGGGCATTATTTGTGATGCGCAGGACACCTTGCCAACACACAAAACATTGACGGTGCTATTGGTGTTGTAATCTTACATGCTGTCTGCATTATATGCTAAGCATCCGTGATAATTAGAGATGAGTATTGCAAACGTCCAGTTTATGCATCACGCTGTTTTCATTATGTAAATATCGTTTAATCAAATTTGTTGCAGATCTAGAAATGCAAACCTGCTTAATGGTGGTGGGGGTGTGAGAAGTTCAGTATAAATACAGGCATCTCGCAGGAGACGGGATCACATTCAATTGGCCTCCTCGGATCATCGCTACTCCAGTCAAGGTAAAGAGTTCTCCTGCTGAGTGTTTAGGGAGCTTCGCCTCTTGAAAGCTTATGCCCCCCCCCCAAAAAAAATCTGGTTGCTGAGTTGCTATTGGACTTGAATCTGGTGTTTGGGGATCTGTATTTTTATGGAGGGGAGGGGAAGAGGCACGGGATGCCCCAATCTCATCAGATCTTCAAAGCTAAGCAGGGTCAGTACTTGAATGGGAGACCACCAAGGAAGACTATGTAGAGGGAGGCAATGGCAAACACAGCCGAGACTTACCTAAAATAGCTGGATTATTGCAAGGGCTTTAGAGGGGTCTAGAGGAGGCTCTTCCTGCCCTTAGTGAACAGGCAGCAAAGGTGAGAGCATCAGGCCCCTGCGCTGGCCAGCCCTACGTCATCTGCAGCATGGGACGTTTTTGGTGGGCTCTGTACAGTGGTGACATTGAGCCCGCCCAGCTCTATTTAAACAGTGTCGCTTGGTGGCTCTGGCAGTGTGGAGGGGTTTTTTTCGGGATCCCCACCCACCCTCCCCTTTGTTTTTGGTATTTTCGTATGTATGCTTTAACTGTCGCAGCTTGGTGGTTTTGCCCATTGGGGTGGATCCTTTTGGGGAGACAGGCCTGCGTGCCCACCTCCCCTGTTTGGGGACTCCCTAATGGGACCTGGGGGTCTGAGCCGCCACGTGGTATGCCCAGCACAGGGGCTGTGCCCAGGCTCACCCCAGGTGACAAATGGTATACCGCTCAGCGGCAGCCACCCTTGTGATACCTCTAATATTTGTTTCTCCTGGGTTTCCCCCAGCAAGCAGGCTGTGGGATGTCTTATCGAGTGGCAGGTGGGGCACTTGGTTTTCCAGGACCCACCCCTATGCTTCGCCAGTGCTCCTTGGTCTGTCATCGATAAATGCTGTGGCCTGTTCTTATTCCAAAATGTTGGTGGTATGTGCTTTGTGACTCTCCGCAAGACCTCTCTTTACTAAGCACTGGGCCTGCAAGCCACCTCTGCTTCCCACTTGCCTTGAAAGCCCCTTGCTGGGGTCACCATAAGTACTTTATTTGCACACTTCTATGGAGATTTACTCTGTCTTTTCTTGTAAACTGAGTAAAGTGTTGTCAAGTGGATCTAGAGACTCTCTGGAAAGGCTTCTGCTTTGTTCACTAATCTTGAAAGGTTTGGTGTGTACAAATGCGGAAAGAGCTCTTCTTAGTTACTTGGGCTCCGTATGGGAAAGAAATACCCCTGCTGCTATTGGTGCCTTTGCTGATGCACTCTTCCTAACATTGTCCCTTACCATTCTCTGGGAGTGGCCCTGTTTTCTCCCCAGGAAGGTGAACGGTGAGAATGGAAATATCTGCTTGCCTTTGCTTCTTTTTAGTGTATGGGACTTCTCTTCCTTTGCAAGTCAAGAACAGTACCAGGTTCACAAGTGAACCTAAGCCCTGTTTTTGAAAGTACACTGTGCCGAGCAGTTTCAGATAGTGACGTCGCATTCCAGTCTGGCCTATCAGAGGGTTGTTTTTATTGTAGCCTAAAAAAAAAAGATAGCATTTAATGCTTTGAATGAAATAACAAAATTGTTTTGAAATGCTTAAACTGAAAATGTATTAAAATAATACCAGATGCCTTGGAAAACTATTATGATTGGTGGTGTTGTGCTAGAGCCCTGGTGTGTACTAAATGCTGGAATGAAAAGTGATATGTGTTGAAAAGTGATATGTGTTGTGTTCCTGAAAGTAAGCTAAAGTAGTCTTAGGGGATAGATACAGAAAATGGCAGCGCAACGATACCCATGATTTTTCATCTGTCCAACACGGAGAGCTCTTAAACCTATGAATATATGGAGGAAAGTAGATATTCACCAGGATTAACTCCTTAAACTCCAACAGTATTGCCATTGCCTACAGAGAGGTATTAGGTAGCTCAATGACTTTCACTTTGAGGTTTACAGAGATCAAATAAATCAACCTGCTGGAGCACTGTCCATTTTTCTCTTATCATCTGCCCTTCCATATGGACTTAATTGATAACTACAATAAAATATATGGACTGAAGAGTCACTTCAGATACCCAGATTCTCTACACGTTGGGTTGGATCCAGTCAGCTTTTCACTCATATCCAGTTGCTCTACTAATTACAGAAACATCTGATCTGGCTTTTGTCCATGCATGTCACATGATCCCCAGATAACCTATAGGTGATCAAAGAGGACCCCATCCTCCCTTTTTCACAAACAGAAAAGCTGGTTGGATCTAACCCAATATGTGCTACCTAGTCCCTCTGATTTCAAAGGAGCTCACCTGAAAGAAGATCATTTCTTCCATCTGAGTGAAAAACGTGAACCGAGACAGCTTCTGCTGGGGAAATTTCTTGTTTAAATGTTAGGAGGGTCATATCTTTCTTCACATAAAATATCCAGGAAGACTGATTTTTAATATTTTAGATTATTGCTATTGGAGAATATGTAGGAACAAAACCAAACAAGAATTTAGAAAGATCATGAAGTGCCAATTTGTCCTGTTCTTCTTCCCTTAGAACTTCTGAATTCCACCATGTCTTCCCTGCCAGAAGCCAACGCCAAACTTGGCCTTGACTTTTTCCGGAAGCTAAGTGCAGAGCACCGAAATGATAATCTCTTGATCTCACCTGTGAATCTTAGCAGTGCCATGGGCCTACTTCTTTTGGGGTCTGAATGTAATACAGCAGCTGAACTTAAAAAGGTGGGTGTAGTTCAACTTCTGCTCATTTGCAAACGGGTTATCCTCGATGTTCCTAACTTTATTTATAATCAGTTACCATAATTTCTCAGTTCACCTATCCTGCATTCAATCAAATTATTTCCTAACTGTGGATTTTATATCAAGCACTTTATGCCTAAAGCAATATTATACTCATTCAAGGTGCTGCACTGGGATGAACTGGAGGATCATAATAAATCCGAACATGATGAGTACTGGATGACAGAATTTAGTGATTCACCTACAAAGGTATGTACAAAAAAAGCTCAAAAAGAATTGCGTGGATTTTTTCTCCCTAATTCTCCATTTGTAGTACTATTTCCAGCTATCGCAATGCTGAACTCCTTGACAAATGTAGAACATATGTGAAGGGCAGGGGTCATTTCGTAGAAAAAGAGGTGCAGGAGCTCATTAGCACAACTCATTTGTGTCAGAAGGCAACACCCACCGCTCAGGCTCCACTGGACTGTTTTGGATTGCTAGCTATTGGGGGGGGACGTGCAGATCTGTCCTCACAGAGGAGGGAGAGCTTGTACCTGAATAAAACTTGGTCTTAAAGGTGCCACTGGACTGTTTTGGACTGGGGGGGCCGAGGTGGCTCTGCAACTTACCTGGCTGCTTCTTGCTCTGACTGAGGGCTGCTGGGAGCAGGGGGTGGGGCTTGTTGCATGTGCCCGCCCCCTGGGCTCTTTACTGCCGGAGCTCTGCGCCTGTGCGCTCCTGCAGGAAATGACCCCTGGGGAAGGGAAAAAATAAGTTCCCAAGTTTACTTTAAAAACTTTACACAGAAGTGTGACTAAAGTTTGTCATAAATTTGCACCCAATGACATATTCAGATATGTTGTTGATTTCTCTTTTGACCCTTCTTTTTGGGGCTAGTCTAATCTTAATATACATGATGACACAGCCAAAAGAATGTTTTGGTGATACATTGGAACAAGGTTTAGTGGACTTCTGTAATTTGGCATATATAGGGGAGCACAGCATCTATTAGTCTTTCCTTTTCTACAAAAACAGAAAGCTATGTTTGAAATATATAGAAGTGTTTTATTTTATTGCAGTCACAAGACAAGATCCCTCTGAAACCCCTTCCTGAACTGCAACATGGTAAACCTTCTGATGACAAACAAAAAAGTGAGGAACCACAACATGCTAAACCTTCTGATGATAAACAAAAAATTGATGAACCACAACATGCCAAACCTTGGGATGAGAGCCATCAAGCCCATGAATCACAACATGCCAAACCTTTTGATGATAGACATCATGTCCAAGAACCACAACATGCCAAACCTTTTGATGATAGACATCACGCCCAAGAACCACAACACACCAAACCTTTTGATGATAGACATCATACCCAAGAACCACAGCACACCAAACCTAGAGATGCTAGACAACAAGCCCAAGAACCACAACACAGTAAACTAGATGATGAAAGACATCAAGCTCAAGAACCACAATACACTAAACCTAGTGATACTAGACGACAAGCCTCTCAACGACGACACACAAAACCTGGAGATGATAGACATCAGGCCCAAGAACCACAACACACTAAACCAAGTGAAGATCAACATCAGGCCCAAGAACCAGAACACACTAAACCTAGCGATGACAGACATCAGGCCCAGGAACCACAACGCATTAAGCCAAGCGATGAGAGACATCAGGCCCAAGAACCACAACACACTAAGCCTAGCGATGACAGACATCAAGCCCAAGAGCCACAGCAGACTAAACCTAGTGCTGAGAGACATCAGGCCCAAGAACCACAACACACTAAACCTAGTACTGAGAGACACCAGGCCCAAGAGCCGCAACACACTAAGCCTAGTGATGAGAGACATCAGGCCCAAGAACCACAACACACTAAACCTAGAGATACTAGACGACAGGCCCCTCAGCGACATACTAAACCTAGAGATGACAGACACCAGGCCCAAGAACCGCAACACACTAAGCCTAGTGATGAGAGACATCAGGCCCAAGAACCGCAACACACTAAGCCTAGTGATGACAGACATCAGGCCCAAGAACCGCAACACACTAAGCCTAGCGATGATAGACACCAGGCCCAAGAACCACAACACACAAAACCTAGTGATGACAGACATCAGGCCCAAGAACCACAGCACACTAAACCTAGAGATACCAGACGACAAGCCCCACAGCGGCACACTAAACCTAGTGATGACAGGCATCAGGCCCAAGAACCACAACACACTAAACCTAGAGATGACAGTCATCAGGCCCAAGAACCACAACACACTAAGCCTAGCGATGATAGACATCAGGCCCAAGAACCACAGCACACTAAACCTAGAGATGGCAGACAACAGGCCCAAGAACCACAGCACACTAAACCTAGAGATAGCAGACATCAGGCCCAGGAACCACAACGCACTAAGCCTAGTGATGATAGACATCAGGCCCAAGAACCACAACACACTAAACCTGGAGATGACAGACATCAGGCCCAGGAACCACAACGCACTAAGCCTAGCGATGATAGACATCAGGCCCAAGAACCACAACGCACTAAACCTGGTGATGATAGACATCAGGCCCAAGAACCACAACGCACTAAACCTGGTGATGATAGACATCAGGCCCAAGAACCACAACGCACTAAGCCTAGTGATGATAGACATCAGGCCCAAGAACCACAGCACACTAAACCTAGAGATGGCAGACATCAGGCCCAAGAACCACAACACACTAAACCTGGAGATGACAGACATCAGGCCCAGGAACCACAACGCACTAAGCCTAGCGATGATAGACATCAGGCCCAGGAACCACAACGCACTAAACCTGGTGATGATAAGCAACCGTCCTCCCAACATCCATGTTCCTGCTCTAAGCCCGAGGCGCCTGAAAAAGAGAAACCAGCTACTCCTGAAAAGGTAAATTGTGAACTATCGGGAGAATTTGATCTCAACTGAGATTTTGATATTTGGGGATTCTCTCTTAATTATTTAACAGTTTAACATAATTTATGACATTTCAATGAAAAGTAGGGAGGAAGGAAGCCCAGATACCCAGTTAAAATTCCTGTGGAAACTTTTATGATAATCTAATTTATATAACCTGCTTTTTTAAAAAAGTTGCCATCTTGGGATAAAGCAAAACATGATGTACTCACTTTGTGGGGGGCAGGATTTCTTATCATTTCCATCCAAGCCACCATGACCTTTTTAAATCAATAGTTCAACAGTGCCATCTTAAGCAGAGTTACACTAGTCTAAGACTATTTACTCTGTTTAGCATGCTACTGTAATTTGTTATGATAATAAAACAGGAAACCCCCATGAGTTACCATGAGCACCATGGAAGAAGGATGTGATACAAATGTCCTAAATCAATCAATAGGTGAACTAAACCAACCAGTAGATGATTATTGAGAAGTGAGTTCCTTGTGTTCAATGGGTCCCACCTGGACTTACCGGGGGGGGGGGCACAGGATGATTTCTGCTGATTCCCTCTTCCCATGGGAAATCTTTTATTCCCCCAAGTCTTTTGGTTTTTTAATCCATCTAGTTGCACATCTAATTCTTCTCCTTCACCACCTGTATAAAAACTGCAAAACTGAAGAAGAGAATTAGAAAAGACCTCCCAGACTGTAGCACAATTAAGGGTCTCCAAGTCAGGAATGGTTGGACTTTAAGATGGCACAGGTTGAGCTGGTGCTGAAAGGCATTGGTATGATTAATAACAATAACAACAATAATAAAAACACAGGCATAAGCAGGGTGACACTGTTGAGAGAGAATTAGTGTTGAATGGTGCATGAGGATAAAGGCACCCATTTATTTTTACAACCCTTGTTTCTAGGTCTCTAAGACTGCATGCTTGGCCACATAGGACAAGACCAAGTAAAAGTATCTCCAATGGTTATTGCCTAGGGGAAAAGGTATTGGCTCTCAACCAAGGGCCACTAGGACTAACATCTTTTTGTGTTCTTAGTCTGTTTCAGATGATGAGTGTGAGACTCCTGAAGGCCTCCATACCGCATTCAGCAAAATAATTACACGACTTAACAGACCTAGCACCAATTACATTCTGAGCTTTGCCAACAAGCTCTATGGAGACTATGCCATTGCTTTCCTTCAGGTAACTCAGAGTTTGGTCAGAATTAGCGGTGTCCTGCATTGCTCAATGGAAAAGTATTGACTATATTAAATTCAGTTGCAGCATAAGTGGTCCAATGGTCTATTGATGCTAAAAAGGGTATCTTATAGTTCAGGTAAAATCTCAGAAGTGAAGCAGGGTCAGCCCTGGCTAGTGTTTGGATGGGAGACCTCGAAGGAATACCAGGGTCATGACACAGAGGCAGGCAGTGGCAAACCACCTCTGGCCATCTCTTGCCTTGAAAACCCTACAGGGTCGCCGTAAGTCAGCTCTCCACAACCAGGAAGGCTGTTCTAGCTAAATGTGTGGTGCATGTTGCCAGAACAAATCCATAATACAACTGAAATTAATTTCCTCTCCTAGTCTATAAATTGTTGCATCTGGCATTATAGTTGTTATTATGAACCATTGCTTGTTCTGCAAAGGGGTCTGCAAACATAGAATCTAAGATTTCTCCAAGAAGTAGGGCCTTTTCAGTGGTCATCCCTGTTTCCATGGAACTCTGCTAAAGAAGGCGCACTTCTTTTGGCTTTTGTTCTGCAAATTCTTTGAAGAGGTTAGGGTGAACGTCTAACCTTTTGAAATTAAGAGATCTGATTCTATACATGAGACTATTGCTATTTTCTGTGTTTTTCTTCTGTTCAGAAATTCCTTTACTGTGCTCTGAAGCTGTACTGGACGGAAGTGGAAGGAGTTGATTTTCATAGCGCCCCCGAGGAAGTCAGGAGACTGATAAATCTGTGGATTGAAATAGAGTCACATGGTAAGAGCAGCACCTTCACTTCAGCTTGATAGTTAGAAAAACTTTAATGACAGGAAGATCTGCAATCGCTGGTTCCTGTGGGATTGCTCTAGAAATCAACAGCCAATTAATAATTTGTCGAACAGGTAGGGAGGGAAAATAACAGCTTTTCATGGCTTATCAAGAGACCTTCTTCTTCCATATGGAAAAAGAACCTCAAGAAGAGTCATTGCTATAGGTTTTGTGTTACTACCAGGGGTCATTTCGTAGAAAAAGAGGTGCAGGAGCCCATTAGCATAACTCATTAGCATAACTTATTTGCATATGCCACACCCCCTGACATCACCGGAAGTGTGTCAGAAGGCAACACCCACCGCTCAGGCTCCACAGGACTGTTTTGGATTGCTAGCTATTGGGGGGGGGGAACGTGCAGATCTGTCCTCGCAGAGGAGGGAGAGCTCGTACCTGAATAAAACTTGGTCTTAAAGGTGCCACTGGACTGTTTTGGACCAAGGGGCCAGGGGGAGCTCTGCAATTTACCTGGCTGCTTCTTGCTCTGACTGAGGGCTCCTGGGAGCAGGGGGTGGGGCTTGTTGCATGTGCCCGCCCCCTGGGCTCTTTACTGCCGGAGCTCCGCTCCTGTGCGCTCCTGCAGGAAATGACCCCTGGTTACTACTAACCACAGTAGAGCTGCTCCATTCAGCTTTCTCAGCTAGGGAATGATGAATTGCATATAGTTGCAATTGACCGATAAGGCACAAAGGAGTTGGAAAATCTTCTAAAGCTCAGTTTCTTGTATTTCTCCATAAGGCAAAATCAAGGATGTTCTGCCCAAGGGCAGTGTGGATTGTCTGACTGAGCTGCTTTTGGTGAACAGCCTGTACTTTAAAGGACTGTGGGATGTTGAATTTAAGAAAGAGCTCACAGAGGAAGCCCCATTTTTCACAGACGCGGTAAGACGTGTGTATGCCTCCCTGATCCATGGCATGTTATCTGGAGCCGAATAGTGGAAAGGTCAATTGCATCTTTCAGTCATGTGTTGCAAGAGCGTAAGAGTTCTTCTACCCCAACGATGTCTTCATGCAGGCATCCTGGACAACGTGGATCAAAGAATCCATAGACTCTGCTTCTGCTGACCAATCAGGCCTTCTGGTGAGAGATGAAGGCCCATAAAGTGGAAATGAAAGGGATTGAATTATTTCCATTGATTTCAATGAAACTTCAATGTTAGGACTTTACCTGAATCAATTGACCAGTTTCTGCGGGCCCCAACTCTCTGTAAGAGTTTCTAGTAGTGCTTGAATAATCTAAAGTGAAAAGGTTTCTTCTTGGGAATTTAGGGGGCAATCCTAAACATCACACTTTCCCCAAATTTACTTATCCAAAATCATCACCAGCCCTTGTTCCTTTATGCATGGTTTTTCCTCTTCTACTTCTTGGGGTTTCCACAGAAGACATTCATGAAGGACCACCTTTTGCTTCTTATTCTGTTTACCTTGTTTGTTGTCAAAACCCAGAGCTTTTTTTGTAGCAGGAACTCCTTTGCATGTTAGGCCACACACCCCTAATGTAGCCAATCCTAATGAGTTTCTGCTGTTGGGTGTGGCCTATTATGCTAATGAGTTCCTGCTGGGCGTGACCAACTTGGGAGCCAGCCGGAACTCCGTTCCTGTGCGTTCCTGCCCCAAAATAGCCCTGGGGTTTCCACAGAAGACATTCATGAAGGATTGCTCCTGTTGTTCCCGGTTTTATTTCCCTAGATCCTCTAGTTTTAACTCATCAAGTCCACAATGAAAAAATAATAAAAATGCATCAGTGAGGAAAAGAAAAGCAACGCTGAGCCACAAGGAAAGGCGTAAGAACATAAAAACATAAGAGAAGCCATGTTGGGTCGGGCCAATGGCTCATCCAGTCCAACACTCTGTGTCACACAGTGGCCAAAACTCTGGGGCCATCAGGAGGTCCACCAGCGGGACCGGAACTCCAGAAAGCGGGATGTAAAACTTATATAAATTTTAAAAAATTGTTTCTCATTTCTTTCAACATTTGTTCCACCCCCCCTTTCTTACAGAAAGCCTTTCATACTGTGCAGCTGATGCACACTAAGGGGACCTTCAACACAGGGACGGTTTATCTGAACGACGTTGAGGTGCAAGTCCTTGAGATACCTTACAAAAACCACGAGTTGAGCATGTTCGTATTGCTACCGACAGATGAAAGTTCTGAAGCCCTACTACAGGTGAGATACTTCATGCTAAAAAATATTCATTGATTCTTTATCTATACCCTCATACCCCACCTTTCACTCTAGCAGAGACCTGAAGTGGCTTACCTTGTTCTCCCCTCCAGTTTTTATCCTCACAACAACCCTGTAGGTTAGGCTTAGAGAATGAGTGTACGCAGGGGTCGTTTCGCAGAAAAAGAGGTGCAGGGGCTCATTAGCATAACTAATGAACCCCAGCACCTCTTTTTCTGCGAAATGACTTGTTTGCATATGCTACACACCCTCAAGTGTGTCAGAAGGCAACACCCACCGCTCAGTCTCCACTGGACTGTTTTGGATTGCTAGCTATTGGAGGGGGGGGAGGAACATGCAGATCTGTCCTCGCAGAGGAGGGAGAGCTCCTACCTGAATAAAACTTGGGCTTAAAGGCGCCACTGGACTGTTTTGGACCGGGGGGGCTGGGGGGAGCTCTGCAACTTACCTGGCTGCTTCTTGCTCTGACTGAGGGCTGCTGGGAGCAGGGGGTGGGGCTTGTTGCATGTGCCCGCCCCCTGGGCTCTTTACTGCCAGAGCTCCGCTCCTGTGCGCTCCTGCAGGAAATGACCCCTGGGCCCTACAGAATTTACCCAGTTGGCCCAGCTGCTGGCCACAAGACCTCAATGAGGAGTTCATCCTTCCAGTTTTATTCCACCCCACCCCACTCACAGCACCACCAGTGGGATATGAATTACAACCACCAGCAGGATATGAATTAAATATATGGTTCTCTAGTAACCTGCAACCCAGACACAAACCCTTTTCCCAAGCCAGCCGGGGGGGGGGGCTTTGTGAACACATTTAAAGTTAAAGTTGCTTTCTTTCGCTGCTTCCCCCCACCTCAAGCCTACCCAGGGAGGGGAACACTGGTAGGGGAAGGGAAGACCGATCGGGGAGGCATGCCTCCCCTTCGCTTCCCCAGCCGCCCTGCCGGGAGCCACACAATATGTGTGAAAGAGCTGCATGTGGCTCCTGAGCCACAGTTTGGCCACCCCGTCCTAGTCCAACACTCTAATAGCTATGCCATCATGTTTGTCTCTGTAACTTTTATATGAACAAGGTCATTATTATACCCATCTCAGGCTGCTTAATCAGATAACATTGGATGCAAAAGTCTCAACAGTTATCCTTTGCTGTTTCACTTAATGTATCCATACTTCCTTTCCACTGATGTCAAGAGTCTTGATGCTTCTCTGACCGGGATCACATTGTTACGATTTCTGTTTGTTCCTTTAGCTGGAAGATGCACTTACCCACGAGGATTTGCTCGACTGGTCCTACGATCTGAAGCCTGAGGATGTGGAGGTGGCCATTCCCAAGTTCAGCATAGAGAAAACGGCTGAAGCTGACAAGTACTTTGATCTGTCATTCATAAATGATTCTGAAAAGGCTGATTTCTCTGGAGCAACAACCACTCACGGGGTGGCTCTGTCTCAGCTTGTCCACGATACATTCTTTGAGGTCGACGAAGAGGGGGATGCGGCACCTGTAACTAAGGAGGCGCAGGCCTCTCGGCGTCAACGTCGTGCACAGGTGCTCTTCATAGCCGACCATCCCTTCCTTTTCTATGTTAGGCACAACTGCACCAAAAGCATTCTCATCTTTGGTAGATTCTGTAAACCAGAGTAAAAGAATTATTCTGACCCACGGAACTCGCAATCAGCACAAAACGACTATGGAAAACGATTTTAGAAAAGTTCATTCTTTTGCATTTTTCTACGTAGCTTCATTCTCTCTGATTCTGATAACGCTGTTGATGGGGGCAAAGAAAACTTGTATTTGGTGATGGGTCTAACTTGCATTCCAAAGGGGTTTTATGCTTCTGCCTTCTCACACCATTTTGCCTCGTGCCAGCTTGTTTAAAGAACAACCCTGAGCTCTGGATATTGTCCCAACTCTCACACGAGAATCTAGTTCTTCTCATTACACAGAAATGGCCATATTTTGAAAGGAAAATTGCCTCTGCCTCTTTAAGATCTGTGAAGAGAGTAACATTTTAAGTAGTGTGGAAACCACTTCAAAACAGTGACAATTCGTCCTGTTAAAGGTTTTTAAAGAGGCTCGTTCTTGTTCTCTTTAGAGATACGGTCATCCAGAAGAAAAATACAGTGATAAATATGATCTTGATTAACCTCTATTGCAAGCATTATTTACATGATTACTTGGGATATACCCAGGACTTGATTCTCATTGACAGAGATTTTTTTCTTTCCCCTTCTCTGGCATGGGACTATTTTCAGTTTAGTGGGACAATCATAATGCTTGCTTCAGACATATTTACGCCTAACATGAAAGGCAAACATGAAGGTCATCTTCTCTGGACCAGAGCTCAGTTTTGAAAATTGCACACAGAGATGGAATCTAGAGGCAGAACCTCCTCTGGAATCTTCTCTTCATATTGCTTCATAATAAGGCCTGCCCGAATGATCCATTTGTATGGATTCTGCTCTATTGTGTTGCTTAAAGTTAGCATTGAAGGGCTGCCCTTTTTAAAAAAGCAAATGTAGACAGCAAAATCTTTTCTGAGTAACTTTTCTCTGAAACCTATTAAATTAATTTCTTTCTGACTTGCGCTGTAACTGCACAAGATGGCAATAAACAAAGCATTTAATAAAACTGTGGTTCTTGGTTTTCATTATCACTTCTCAGACGAGTACAATACACAGCATTTGCTTGGCTAATTCAGCTATAATGTTTCAGTTGTCCATTCCTGAGAGCACAGAAAAGTTATGAGCTAATCTTTTGGTTTCCTCTTCTATCCATTTCCCTCCCTCAGAGGCAAGATTTCCCCTCCATTTGCCTTTCTGACTGAACAGTCCTCTCAGCTCAGGAAGGACGGCTCCAGAGCAAACTAATTTATGCAGTAGCCAAATTGCTCGCTCACAACTTTAATGCCAGGAGCTCCCAAAGTAGAATTTTTGCTCACAAGACTCCACAGCTTAGAAGGGAACATTGGTTATGAGCCAATCTTTTGGTTTCTGAGGCAGCCCTATGATGGCGCGGTCCATTTCCCTTCCTCAGAGGCAAGATTTTCCCTCCATTTCTATTTGCCTTTCTGACCGAACAGTCCTAGTGGTCTGTTTTTTTCTTCCCTAAAGAGCTCTGGCTTTCCCACCCAGTCTCCGACTGATATTTACTGTTGACTGTTGTGGGAAGGGTCGGGATCGTCCTTTAACTTAATCCACTGAAAATGGCACTTGAGACATTTTGACATTCAAAATTAACCAAATATTTGTTTCAACATAGAGGGAGTCAAGTGAAAGTGGGGTTGAAACGTCTGTGGTAAAACCAGTACTCTAGTTCTTATATTTCAGGCCAATGAGAGCTTCTTAAGTTACTTAAAATCTTAATGTTGAGAAGCTTTTGTTCCAGTGTTTTCCAAACACTCCAGTACATTTTCTTTGAGTACAGGATTGTCATGTGATCGGCACCTCCCCCCGAATCACGGGACATCAGCAGGATGTGTGATCTGGCAGCCGCACGTTAGTTTGCTCCGGGGCAAACAGCCACGCTTCCCCTCCGCATTTTCCGGCCCGTGTGACCGGGGCCCTGGTTTCCAGAAGGCTGGTACACACTTTCCAGTACCCAAACCCCTTCTCTTGAAACACCAGTACTTGTCTTTAGTTTTTAACTGTCTCTTAAGGTCTCTAAAGGCAATTTCTAACCACACCAGGATTCGCTGCACTCTTCAGAGCTAACTGCCTGCTTGACTGGGTAGGGAAATTCTCCTCTCACTAGAAGATCTATCTCCTATCTTTGGCCCGAGAGGGAGTCTTCACCTAACTTCACAATCTTCCTTGCCAACTTTCCCCCAGTTCTCTGTCTGTGTTAAACTGCTCTCAGTTAAGGCTGAAATCAGACTCAGCTCAGTCAAGGCAGATTTAGACTCTCCTCAGCATGCAGCTCTCACGTTTTTTCACTGCACAGCTGGTGCTAACCAATCAAATTGCTTGGAGCAGCCTGTCACTCAAGGCTCTCTGTTTCTGTGAAGAATTAAACCTTCACAGTCCTTTAGTTGTTTGTACAGCCCTTCTAAGCTGCTTAAAAGTGCAGTCTGTCACAGACCCATTGGCCCTTCCAGAACTTTAAGAACTGTAGGAATCCTGCTTTCTCCTAAAGCCAACCCCATTGGACTCTAACTGTTTTTTCCTCAGAGGGCAGGGTTAAGCTCTTAGGAGAGGCCACTCAGAGCCCAGATGCAAGGAGTAAGTGAATTTACGGTCATTGACCAATGACCAGTACACAGTAATACAAATAAAACAAGTAAAACACATTTATGTCCAAAACGTAAAACAGTTCTGTTCCCTGTACATAAATATGATATTTGTATTTGGGTATTTGTATCATCTGGGTATTCCAGCATTCGACAGTCCTGGTTGACTCTTAGCTGTTCCATACACCCACCAAATAGAAATAAAGGGGATTGGTGATTGACAGAAAGGGACAGGACCTTTGCCACCTGTCACAGTGACAATACATGGATTGTTCTGTAATTGATTCAACAGGACCTGCTCACCAATAGGTTTGTGGTGAATTACGTATAGCTTTTTCAGGAATGTTAGCCTCCCCATGTGCTTGCCAAGTGGGTTCCAAGATAGGGTCTAAGATGTTGGAATGAGCAGTGTTTGATGTTCAAAGAGAGAAAACCCTGTCGGAGGCACAAGAGGATAGAGTTAAATGAGACCGTGAGGTCAGCACCTCCTCTTCTATCCATTGTCCTTTCTTGTCTGTCTCCATTCCTATGTTCTATGTCTTCTGTAGGGAATTATTTTTTCCTTTCTGCAACACAAATTCTTGTTGAGATTGTTCATATTCCCCTTGAAAGTAAGAGGGGGATCCCGCCACAACAGACAGCCCCGGGCCGCAGAGCGACCGCGCCGCCGGGAGCCACGGCTGGCTGGGGCCACGCGGCTTACCTAGCAGCAGAGAATGCGGCCCGGCAGGAAGCCTCGGCCGTGTCAGGCCAACGAGGGACGGAAAGGGGAGCCTGGGAAGAGGGCGGCTGCGACAAGGCCCCGTAGGAGCGGGGCAGCAGCTGTGCAAGCACACATCCGGGAACGCCCTGACGGCGTTCCCACTGTTAAAGGGGGCGGGGCCGGGTGCACGGGGGGGAAAAGGGGCGGACCAAGCAAGGGCGGCAGAGATATTAACATCTAAGACTCAGGATTAGTGCTTAGTGCTTTCAGGCAACATCTGTCCTGGCTAATCCTTTTGTTCTGCTTTGCTGTGTTTGTTACCATAAGAATGGCGACTCCACCAAACCCAGCAGGTTGAAATTCAGAAGGACTGGAGAAAGGTGGGGAATAACTCCTTCTTGTGACCAGACTACCTGTCAGGGCAGTTTGAGCTTAACCCCTGGGCATTTACAGAGTGTAAATCCAACATTCGCAAAGCAAAGTGTAAAATTCGTACACAGAGTTTGAGTCAAGTGGCACCTTTGAGGCCAACAAAGTTTTATTCAAAGTGTAAGCATTTGTGTGCAAAACACACTTCTTCATACAAAACTGGAATAAAATATCAAAAGTTAGTTACAGGAAAAAAGAGGGCAGGGGTAAGCTCTTAGGAGAGGCCACTCAGAGCCCAGATGCAAGGAGTAAGTAAATTCACGGTCATTGACTAGTACACGGTAATACAAATAAAACAAGTAAAACACATTTATGCCCAAAATGTAAGACAGTTCTGTTCCCTGTACATAAATATGATATTTGTAAAATACATAAATAAACCACTTGTAACCTAAAATATTGAGTGATTTAACTTGAATCACTTATAAAACCATCTCTAAACCACTAACTAGCATGACTTATCCATATTTTCTTCATCTTAATTGCCAGCCAACCATACTTAGCAATTTTACCATACTTGGCAATTTTAAAGGTGACATTTCTTGAGGTGACCTTTTTTGATCTTTTCATGGGAAATTAGAAATTACTGGTACTGTCAAGGACTCCTGAATCTGCTGATAAGATTTTACAGTTGAAAATTTACATGGCTTAATGTCTCCACACTCCCATCCCCACATGGACACAGGCATTCTTCTAAAGGTGTCTTCTTATATTTGCCTTCGGCAGCACATATACTAAAATTGGAGCCCAGGTGCATATGCAGAGCTGAAATTGGAATGGGTGGCCACTCAATAGCACGTAAACGCAAGAGTTAACAAAGAGATGTGAAAATGAAATTGGACTGCAATTTCAGCTCTTCAGATGCATGAATGGCCTCTCCTACCAGCTTACCCCCCCGCCCTCTTTTCCCCCTGTAACTAACTTTTGAGATGTCATTCCAGTTTTGTCTGAAGAAGTGTGTTTTGCATACAAAAGCTTACACTTTGAATAAAACCTTGTTGGTCTCAAAGGTGCCACTGGACTCAAACTTTGCTCTGCTGCTTCTGACCAGCTTGGCTACCCACCTGAATCTATTCACATACATGTTTGTGTGTGTGAAGTTCCATCAAGTAAGGGTTGTAATGCTCAGGGCTCTTTTTGTAGAAAAAGCCCAGCAGGAACTCATTAGCATAATAGGCCACACCCAACAGCAGAAACTCATTAGCATATTAGACCACACC